AGCTTCAGCGGCCGTGATTCTCGCTGGAGGAAAAGTCCAGAGTAAAGCTGTACGGGTCGCTCACACGTCATATGAGCAGCACTTCACACACACAGATGCTTCACACGCATCAATACCGTATAAATGTTCATCACTAACCTTTCATCAGCATGATTATACCTGCAGAGCAATGACAGAGTGCAAGTAAAGCTGCAAGCAGCGATGATAGGGACCTCGCGCCCGGGCTCCCCGCCGCCCGGTAGCCTCAGGATGACAGAGAACAGCGAACAATATTAATTTAAGCCGATATATATAAATAACCTGAGAAAATTACACATTTATGCCAAAACTTCCTCCTGTCAGAGCTGATGCAGGAATGGGATGCATTAGAAAACAATAAATTACATGAAATCCAACCTGAAGTTTCACACAGAATTTTAAGACATCTTAAGAATCGATTTGATCAAGTAGTTTTTACCAGATGTCGTATTGGGCATACGAGAATTACACATGGTTTTTTGCTCCAAGGTGAAAACCCATTCTCAGTGTTTGTGCTGCAAAACTCCTCTTACTGTAAAACACATATTTTACTGGACTGTCCTGCTTTTACTGATTCCAGAAGGACTTTTTATGAAATGAACTCTTTTAAGGACATTTTTGACAAAGTAACACCAGAAAAGATTTTAGAATTTTTATCATGTATTAACACAAAAAATCTTATTTAATTTATGTTTTATTTTGTTTGTTGATTTTTAAATTGTATATTTATTGTTGAAAGGTTCCTGCCATGAAGATAGCCTTGGTTGCTGACATGGCACTAAATAAAAAATACATTACATCCTCCTGTCAGCAGGTGGCGCTATGACTGTGACTCAAAATTGGCATGTAGATGCCTTCAGTAGAGGAAACGTATCAACCATGTGAAGTTTCAGGCAGATCAGACATTGTGTGTTTGAGTTATAAGGACTTCCTGTTCCATGGCGAAGTGTTGAGGTTTGTCATGCCACCACAGACACGCCCCTCTGTGAAAACTCTAGATCTTCACAATATATCATCGCTAGAGCTTTCAGACAACACCACCCAAATTTAATATGGCCATCGACGAAAACTCTTAAAGCTTTGCAATTTAACATCGCCAAGGCCTTCAGATGACAAAACCCAATTTTGGTGTCGATCAGATGAAATCCCTAGGAGGAGTTCGTTAAGATACAACGCCTGGAAATGGCAAAAACAAAACTTTTTCGCCGCAGGAAGTTAAAAATATCCGACTTCCTGTTGGGTTTGAGATATGGCTCCAAGAGACTTTTTCGTATGTTTTGGCATGTTTGAGGTGTGTGCCAATGTTCGTGCATGTGCGTGATTTGTATATCGGGGGCTCGTCCGTTTAATTTTTATGGGTGGCGCTGTCGAGTCATTTTGCCACGCCCTCTTCGAAAACCCATAACAAACATAAATTTTCTCCACTTCTGAGGCGTGTGCAAAGTTTCATGAGTTTTCGGGCATGTTTAGCCCCTCAAAACCGCGATTCATTCAGCGGAAGAAGTCGGAAGAATAATAATAAGATAGGGAGCAACTCCAATAGGGCCTTGCACCGTTTGGTGCTCGGTCCCTAATAATTAGGGATGCACCGATACCATTGCTTTTGGATCCAATCTTGATTCCAATATTCTGAGTATCGACCGATACAGAGCCTGTAGATCTAGATCCTGTTTCCACAGCTCTGGTGATGAGCCCAATATTATATCTTCTCCAGTAAAATAACAGACCTGAAGTCCTGCTGTATGTGAATGAGGACACAGTCTCACTATAAACATGATGCTCGCTGTGAACGATGCGCTACATGATTTCAGCAGTGGTTATGACGTTGATTGTTTCCTTTTTAATATTAAGATTGTTCTCTGAAATCTGTAATAGGCTGCCACTATTGACCCTAATTGTTGTATATGATCAGCCCTTTAGCAAAGCCTGATGTTCTCCTGCAGGTTTGAGCAGACTCAACTAAACCGTCTGAGGCCAGCTTTACTATATAATCCCTCGTCTGAGAATAAATCAAATAAATCAACATATATGAACACACACAGATCTTACAGTCCCCGATATGATACCAATTACAGATAAACTACACACAGCAGACATTTAGTCCTTATTTGGGCTCAAAAACAGCACGAGCATATAGGCCACAGTCTGTCCGAGCAGAGCATCATTTACATTTAGTCATTTAGCGGACGCTTTTATCCAAAGCGACTTACAAATGAGGACAAAGAGGCAATTTACACAACAATAAGAGCAACAATGAAGAAGTGCTGTAGGCGAGTTTCAGGTCTGTAAAGTCTAAGAAGGGAAGTATTAGTAGTATTAGTATTAGTAGTTATTAGTATTTTTTTTTTGGTACAGTTAGTGTGATATTCAGAGGCAATTGCAGAAGGGAAGTGGAGACTAAATAGTTGAGTGTTTAGTGGTTTCTTGAAGACAGCGAGTGACTCTGCCATTCTGATGCAGTTAGGGAGTTCATTCCACCAAC